GGAGAACTGTTGGTCTGGAAGATGAGCACCTGGTATTCAGCTGCCACCATGACATAGCAGGTCAGGCTCCTGTTGGTGGTGGCACCTGAAGAGCAGAGGGTCCCAAATCACATCCTTGCATGTTAATCAGAGGAAATGCTTAATTAAGAAACAGCAATCATCTCCTTATATCTTGATTCTGGAAAAACTACATAAAATAATAATGATCTCCTGGTTCTGGTGGATTTACAATATTCTCTTCACAGCATGATTTACGCTGGAAGAAGTAAAGGGTAGTGACAAGCCTAAAACTTATTTGTGATTTTCTCAGTTCTATAAGTAAAAGGCTAAAAAGATTAAGATTCTATAACATCTCACCTTCTTCCAAAGGTAGCRTATTTGGTCTAAGTATGGTAGACCATCATCTACCATAGACTGAAATCTAAGGAACCAACCTAGAAAAAACACTTTCATCAAAGCAGATGGCTCCATGAACTCTCTGGAATGTCGTGTGTTAGAAGTAGTTTTTATAGCCAAACAGTACTAAAAACATTCAGGAAGTGATCTAGCTTTTAGTATCTAGAAAAGTGTGTCATTTGCACTTACTGAGATATGAGAGCAAACCTTGGAACATGGTGGGTTGCCACAGTGACCTACAGCTTAGGGGTATTTCAGATGAGAAGAGCCACATTCGCTCGAGGGGTCTGCTGGGATCTGAAGTTTTCATGGAGAGGCTTCATGCTAAAATTAATGAAATAATGTAAAAGGCATTTTATATGGCTTTTCTTATGGTGGATATTGCAACACAATTAAAAAAGACAACAATTAAATATAAAGAGCTGGAATGAGTAAGCAGTGTGGAGGAGAAATGCCACACCCAGGGGAAGGAAGTGAAAAAGTGTGGGCTCCATGCTGGGCCCTCCAAGGAGAGATGGGGGAGGAGGAGGGAGGGGAAGAGGCAGGCTCACTCCCAGGTGCTCCCTCTCAGAACCCTTGGGAGGGGCCTCCTTGACTGCAGCAGGCTTCTCGGAGTCGCAGTGACATCTCTGTTGCACAGGCTGTGGATGAGGGGGTTCAGCACAAGGGTGAGGATGGTGTAGAAGGTGGACACCATCACATCATGCTGTGCTGTGTGGTGGGAGCCAGGGAGCGTGTAAGTGCAGATGGCAGCACCAAAGAARAGTAGCACCACTGTCATGTGGGAAGAGCAGATGGCCAGCGCCTTCCTGTGGTCCTCGGCTGAGCTGGTGCTGTGGATGAGGAGCAGGATGAGGGTGTAGGAGCTGGGGATGACCATGATGGGCATGAGGAGCATGAGGATGCAGCACAGGTACATGAGCATCTTGTAGAGGGAGACGTCTGAGCAGGAAAGCCTCAGCAGGGCAGAAGAAGCTCAGGATCTTCCTGGATTTGCAGAAGGAGAAGCTCATGGTGATGGGCATGAGCAGCAAGCTGTCCAGTGCTCCCAGAAGCCAGCAGCCAGACACCAGAAGCCGGCAGACTCTCTGGGTCATCA